CGCATTCTGCCCTCTCCGGGCGGAGGCGGCCTGTGTCAGAGAGCAGCAGAACACAACGGGAGCAGAGCTGCAGTGCAGACTAGGTGGCGCTGAGGCCTGTGACCATGCAGTCTGTTTCAGGAATTTCACTTCAGGAAAGCTCTGCTTTCCGTGCTGACTGGGAAAGAGTGTCTGGGGCTCAGTAGCCTCAGCACCGCATACTGCACCGCTGGCAGTCATGGTGCTCACCTCAAAGGAAGACATGCTGTCTTCCTCCCTGACAAGAGGCACCAGCTCTGCTGCGCCTTCTCCTGTGCCAGGTAAAGCCTCTGTGAATTCCCAGCAGTGGTGTTGCTACGTCAGGATCAGCCTTACTGCCAGAAACATGTGCAGTCATACTGTGTCACTCCCCACTCCTTCTCCCATTGCTCACCAAGGAACAGGACATACTGCTCTGTGTCTCACCAGCTCTGCCAGCATTCAAGCCGCATGTTACACCTACAGCTCTTTGCTGCTGCGATGCTGTGCAGAGCTGCTGAAAAGGCTCAGTCTTGGGGAAGGATTCCTCATCCATGTGACCACTGCTGGTGTGGTGAGGCAGAAGGCAGGTAGGACTTAGAGACCTGCCAGACAGCCTCACCTGCAGACCCTTGTGCTGAATCAGACCCCTCTGGTGAAGTTCAGGTTCAGGCTCGAGAGAGGGTCATGAGAGTCCCGTCTGCCCTGCCTAACCTTGGGGACACTCTGGGACAGCCAGTGTCCCCATTTGTTGTCCTCACACACTGCCTCAGGTCTGTACAAGTGTTGGAAACAGTTGAACCAAGAACCGATGAGGATGTTAAAAATGTGGTGGAAGTAACTTGGATGCTAAACAAGTTCTTAACAAATCAGCACTACCCTGAGTTGGCAAAACTGCTTTTTTAATTCTAGATGGAGTACAAGACATTTTCTTTCTTGTACGTATGTCTCTGCCAGAGTGTCCCCTTTCACAGCTTGGGGGTGGCAGATGAGAATAGCAAGATGGTCCCTGTCTGAAGACATGTCATTTTGCACGTGAAGTCATTATGAAATGTGGAATGAGGTAAAAATGACATCATCTGCGGGCATCTTTGTTGTGAATTTGTCACTATAGATGTTGCTAGCCATGAATGTCTAACTCACAGGTATTGCTGAGCTGGATGGCAAGTGCAGACTGAAAAAGGCAGGAGCATAGGCTTTGGGGAAATTGTCCTAGGTTTAGTTTTCGCTTTGCAAAGGCTCACCAGTGCAAGCCCCTGGATGACCCTGGCAGTAGCAGACACATCCTGAACAGCAGTAGTCCCACGGAGGTGCATTGCACTCCTTTGGCCTCGCAGGTACATCTGCCAGTTTGGACAGCCAGGCGGAGCATGGTGGTAGTGACAGCCTTGAGCTGTTTGGCCAGCCACAGTGATGCCAGGGAGGAGACGAAGGGTCGATGCCCAACAAGAAACCCAGGGGCATGAGCCATAGCAGTGCTTCAGGCTGCATCCTCCAGCCTTCCCCTCTGACAGTGCAGGGCAGCCGGGGAGCTGCACGCAGCCTGGGACAAAAGGACACATTTTTCACCAGAGACCAATTGTGGCCCAGAGACCGAAACAACATTTTATTCTCACCATTTCCACAC